GTGTGTCCTTTTGTGGCCGCTTACAGCAATGATTTCAAACACTCGATCAGAGGAAGAGGTTTGACCTAATGAAGAACCAACAAATATACAAGTTTACAAATGCAAAAATATAAAACTGAAAAACGGCTAAAGCGAACACCATGAACATAATAACTAGGAACTTACATTGTATTGGCGCTGTAGGCCGCGAAAAAAGGGAACTCTAAACCAGAAGTTCTCTCGGTGAAATCAACGATGAAACTAAAAAGCTAGAATATTAACAACAAGTAAATTATAGCAAACACGGGAAAGAAAAACAAAACGTATTACCAAGGGAATGCTAATAAACTGAAATAAAATGCAAAGAATGCTAAAATCTACACTTATTACCTTAGTACACCTTGCATTGTTGCCACATTCAATTTTTTGTCCTTATTACACCCTGTAAATGCTGGCATGAGCAGTTTTTGATGTTTTAAGTCATTAATAACACCAACTTGTGGGAACCCTTATTACTTTATTACATGTAATAAGTCAGAAAATGGAAATCAACGATACTAAAATAGGTAAGTCAAAGGAACAGTTTTGGTTGCAGTCTGCGTTTTTGTCCACAAAATGAAAACATACCCATATCGGTTTAAGAGGTGAAGAGTACTGACCACATACAAATGTTTCCATACTGACATCTCGCATGCGAAATGAGAAGACTACAGGAAGGCTTGAAATTCTATTTGAGAAAGACTGTGGCTGCTTTGTTAAAAAACCGTATTGAAAAGCCGCATTTTTAAAAACAAAGTATGCGAGAAAACGGGCAATTTAAGGAATATTCCACATGACTGTGAAAGATGATCGTGGAAGAGCGATTGTGTGATACTCTCTATGTTTTTACAATTTCCAGTCTGCATTTTGTACTGTAGTTTATAGTCTGTATTTTGTACTGAATGATGGCTAATATGTGAATTCTCACGATTGATCCAACATCACGCCAGCAATTCAAAGTAATTCCGAGTAGTTTCAACTCTATCCGAGAGTTATCCATTGGCTGCCTATGTTTATATGCAAAAGTGTATGTTTTCATCAAAAGGAATTTTAACATCTTCAAAACACATTCAAACATAGTGTATCCACGACTTATTCACAGGGGTCTTCACAGTTTCCTTTGATTTTTCTCCTCATTACCTTATTACACCATGCAATGCTGCTGCATACATTTATTTTCACCTTATTACCTTTTTACACCATGTATTGCTGGTACATACATTTTATTCAAGTTCTCCTTATTATCTTATTACGCCATATATTGCAACAATACACTTTTTTTTCTCCTCATTACCTTATTTCTTTATTACACGATGTACATGTATTGCTGCCACACACATTTTTCCTTATTACTTTGTAACAAGGTCATTATGGCATGCTTGATCGTACTTTGGACTATGTGTGATGATAAAGTGCTAATATTTCGACTGGATATGTTTTGTTTTGCTTTCGAATTTTGTCAGTCATTCAAAGCGTCACTAAAAATCGTTTCCCAAACCATTAGACTAAACCTAGAGATAATGTTATTTTGCAACACATACCTGCCACAGTAAGCTGAACAGTATCTTTAAGATAATTTATCTTATCAAATAACAAGCAACGAAACATTGTGTTGTCTTTGGGAGTTACTTTCGTGATGACTAAGGTGGCCTTTCCTTCCATGCTGATTCTCCCTCTGTATGCATCAGGTAAATCTTGATGATCCTGAACAACACCATTCTCTTTAAACAGCATTCTTTTAAACCCTTTACCAGTCACCAGAACACTAAAAGCAATGCCAACAACAACATTGTTTGGGTCACTGTAGTCCCACACCAGTTTTGCAGTACTTCCATTATTAACGTAGGTTGGATTAGGAGGCCTCGATGTGAATATGACATTTGCCTCTAGCAAAAAATAATGAACAAAAAAAGTATTGTTACAACTACAATTTACATAATCAACTTTCTGTTTGAGGATAACTGCTGAACAATGAATACTGTATTGTCTTTATTTAAAATTTTATTGTTCTTAACTACACTGAATTCTAATTACATTTTTGTGTGAGTTTATGTAAGGATTATGTAACTGCAGTACATACTTTTTCTCTTGACAGTTTGATTTGCTTCATTCACCATTACTTGCCATTTTGTTGATTTCATCTAAGTAGTCTGTTGTTATTATCATCTTTGTTAGTTTTTGCTTGTGTATTAGTTGACTCTTATCAAAAAGTTTCAAATGGATATGCCAGATTGTACATTTGTTTTTTAATGTTAAGTTTTTGGGTTATATTTTGTGGCAAATATTATTTTGTATTTATTTATTTTCAGTTGAGTCATACCCTCAGATACATTAACTTGGTTTAGTAAAATTACATGCATTCCACTTTGTGGCCAGAACCTGTAGCAATTAATGACAACAATTATGCCATCCTAAATGAAGACCTGCCACCACAGAAATTTCACCAGGTTACCCCCGTCTTAGAGTGACACCATTAATGTCATTATATCTCTAGTTTGCTTTTTAATGAATAAACTGAAAAACCACTTTACTATTTTTCAGTTAATACAAGTAACATAAGAACAGGAACTGCATGTCTCCAAATTATTTGTCTTACTGCAATTTGTTTTACTGAACAAGTAGAGATAGAGAGTAGTCTATGTGTCATGTTATTGAATTGATGCTTCAAATCAAAACATAGTTGTCACAATTTATGAAAGGCAAGTTTTCTGTTGACTCTTGAACTACTTAAAAAAAAATGTCTTCAATTTACAACAAAAAATTCTAAGACACTTAGGGGTGTACAGTGTGGTTTAGTATCTTATTTAAATTCAGAGAAAGTGATAACTCTAGCTTTTTCTCTCATTGGAAGTATAATTAAATTGTTCAACAATAGAGTGCCGAAGTGTGACGTCATGTTACCATGGTAGCATTTTTGCTGGATCTAAACACTATTTGGCGTCTTTCGTTACATCTCATCATAAAATGGGCCAATGCTTCGTTCCCGACTGCAATCATCAGTCAGAAAGTCACAATTGCAGCTTTTACCGTTTCCCCAAAGATCCTGCTCAAAGAAGAAAATGGATTTCTCTAATAAGGTAGGTTGATTTTTGGTACAATGACCACCATGATGCACGGCCACGTGTCGGTTATAGTTACGCGGAAGATGGTTTTATTTAACCACTCAAAAGTGCACTGACCTGTGGATTATACCTTTGAAAGACCTCTAGAGAGAAAAAAAGCTTTTTTTTACGTTATGATTAAAGTTTAAAACCTTCGTTTTCTCTCTCCAGACGAGCTGATCGTGAACCTGGCAAAGGCGCTCGAGTTTGTAGTTGTCATTTCCGAGGAAGTAAAGAAGAAGGCCCCGAGGTCTTTTCCTGGAATAAAGACAAACTATTTGAATCTCGAAATGCTCCAAAAAGGAAAAAGCAAAGAACTGAAGTCCCAGAGACAACGACTATCGAGCAGATCCTTTCAGAATCTTCGACGAAGAGCAACCAGAACGAGCCTTGCGAGCTCAGTTGCGAGGAGATGCAAATGAAATGCACTACTTTGCAGACTGAAAATATCCTGCTACAAGCAGAGCTAGGGACATTAAAGACCCAAGTATCCGAGTTGAAAGAAAAAGAAAGCTACTTAAAAAGAAACTACAGCTCTTTTAACATGGATTCAAAGGTAATCAACATGGAAACTGGCCTCCCAAACAAAGAAATGTTCCACATTGTTGTCGAATATGCCGAAAGATACCGCAACGATATTGTTTACGTGTGTGGCTGGAAAGTAGACAAGATATCTTTTGAAGATCAAATATTGATAACATTGATGAAGATTAGACATAATTATCATAACTTACATTTAGCTGAACTTTTTAGTTGCAGTACTGCTACAATAGCGAATATTGTGACAACATTTATCCATGTTTTGCACCAAATTCTATATGAAGATCAAATGGAGATAGCTGTTCCATCCAGACAAAAAAACAAAACTTCACTTCCAGGCTCATTTAGCTTATTTGGAGACTGTCGTATGGTAATAGATTGCACCGATATCGAGGTTGCTACACCTAAGCTTATGAGTGACCAAAAATTGACATATTCAACGTACAGGGGTATGAATTCTTTTAAGACAATTGTTGGTGTGGCACCCAACGCGGTTATAACTTATGTAAGTAAACTTTTCCCTGGCTCAGTATCAGATAAAGTAACGGTTCAAAAGTCAGGAATATTAAAGCATTTTGTTGCTGGGGATATTATACTTGCGGATAAAGGGTTTTTGATAAATGATATTGTTCCTAATGGTGTATATGTGAACATTCCCCCATTCTTGAACAATGGAAAATTTACAGAAAGTGAAGTTAAGTTAACAAAGAGCATTGCAAAATGTCGTATACACGTAGAACGTGCTAATGCTAGATTGAAGAACTATAAAATTTTAAATTTTGTGCCACCATACTTGCGATCCCTCTCTGGTAAGATTATACAGCTATGTGGTGCTTTAGTTAATTTACAAAACCCATTAATTAAGGAAACCAATGACACTGTTGACTTTGATTAGTCATTTTAATTGAAATATTGATCATCTTACATCAGTTTACTAAGGCCTGGTATACATTGGCATTGTCTGATCATAGTTAATCAATTAACTGTATTCTGATACAAAGAGTGGACAGGTGTTGTGTGATCTGTGAAAAGCTTGTAACCCTATTTTACTTGCTCATGATACAAGGAATCATGATACACAACTTAATGACAAACTATTTATTTCTGATCAGTATTCCTGCCACCACACCCTTATGCTAGTCTTATTATGAATTCAGATAACCAACTGTATTCAAATACGATTACAATGAATCTATCATTTTCTTGTCTCAAGTAGCTAATGTAAAAACCCCAGCAAATGTTGCTGTTTAAAGAAAAACAATTTTAAGATTAACATGAACATTTTTATTTTATATACACCCTTCAGTTACTGCATATTTGTTGTAAAAGTTGCAATGATTTTACCAAATAAAACAATATTTTAAAAAATATTTCTAAAAGTATGTATTATCAAATCCATTACTTTATAAAAAACTACATTAATTTTACAACAAAGTCTTAAAATTTAAAGACCACCATCAACAAGTGCAGGAATCATGTGAATTGTATAAAATTCTTGAAGTGAAAGAAGATTTGGTTCCCATGTGCAGTCTTTCTGGATTGCCAACACAACAGTTTGCATTGTTGTCCAAACCACAAAGTAACAGATTTGCTTCCCAGTTATAAACAGCTGACCCTGGACTTGATGCCAGTAGTGGTGGGATTGTTTTAAACAATAGCCAGCATCTCTCTTTACTAAACAGAACTTAGGGTCTTTAACAGCCTCCTCAATTGTTGAATTGCGATGTGTGTAAGGGCATTTGACTTCAATGATCGCATTGTCATCAACAAGTCCATCTGGTGATGCACCCAAAACACCAGACTTGTGTAGCCAAAGGCCACAATCCTTTACTACTTTCATTGTTAATTTGGTGAAGGCCTTTATTCCTTCTTTCTCGTTAACGACACCCCATCGAACAGCCTGCACTCGAGAGATGTCGTATTCTCCAAGAACACGCTTGATAAGGGAAGGAGTGACTCTTTTTGCTTCAAGAACTGGACCAAAATTGCTAGCAGTCAAACGTCCTTTTCTCACCACATGCCACTCTCCACATTCACGTTGCTCTTTCGTGATCTCACAGACTGATTTCACTTGCTGCTCACTTACTTTCAATTTTTCCAACAAGAAATTTGTATCAAGTCCGCTTTCAACAAACTCTCTCGATAAAATGATTTCTTCGACTGTGGAGATCGGCAGACGATTCTCTTTGTCAGGTTCGGGGCTCAAAAGCCATAACATTCCTGTGAACTCGCCGTATCTCTTCAGCTTGTTCCGTAGCCATTCTCTGTCCTCATCTGTAGTTTTTCGTTTTAGGACTTTAGTTTCTTTGGGTGGATACAGATCTTCTACCGTTTTAACCACCTCGGATGCCTTTTGTTTCTTCCACTGACATTCGATGTCAGTTCTACTTAAGTTGTGGTAGCCATGAAGGAACAGAGCTACAGCGTGACTACACTTTGAACCGCCACGAGGGCACTCGCATTCTGTGGAACGTATTTCGTTTTCTTGAAGATATATCTGCGAAGGAAAGAGAAAAAGAAATATAAGCTTACTTTTCAAGATTTCCTTTAAACGAAGATTCGAAATCACTTAATTTAAATAAGTTTTGGTTTGGCGATGTTAACGGATAGACATCGAGTAATAGAAATTTTACACTTACTGTGACTTTATACGTCGTACTTTTCATGCTCGCTTGCACTGACCCTCTGATAATTCCATCACAATAGCAAAAAGATAGAACGTGTCCAGATTGGTAATGGTTTTCGCCACGGTTTAAAGATTTAGGCTCATCTGAGAAGTATTTTGCGAACGATGTTATCGACAACGCCGCCATGTTAAACACATGTGAGTTTGTTTAGATCCAGCAGAAATGCAACCATGGAAACGTGACGTCAGGGCTTCGGTACTCTATT